GTCAGAGGGAGAAGCAGGCTCCCCGCCGAGCAGGGAGCCCGATGCGGGACTCGATCCCGGGACTCCAGGATCATGACCTGAGCCGAAGGCAGTCGTTTAACCAACTGGGCCACCCAGGCGCCCCAGAGTGATATTTTCTAAATTCCGATCTAATCATGTCACCTTCCACATCTGTCTTGCCATATACACATACATGCCATGCCTTACCACTGCTCTCAACATAAACAAAGAAATGATATCCTCTCACAGTCTCGCCTTTGCTCTATTAGCCTTTTATCAATTCACAAAATGTACTGTGTTATCTGCCCACCATGAGCCTTGTTTGGTGCATGCTGTTCCTCCTGACTAGAACATCTTTTCCACTCTGCACTTTTAATTTAGTTGGCTCCTACCCATCCTTCGGATTCCCATGCCACTGTCATTGCCTAGAAAAGCCCTCCCTGACCTCTCCAACTAGGGCAAAACCCCCCACTACATACACTCTCCTATCACTAGTATCTCTGTGCTGACTTTCATTTTAGCAATATATGACACTTATTTATGTGCTAATTTAATTTCTAATTCCCCTATTGGACTGTCCAAGGACATGTTTGCTTTTGTCAGGATTGAATCCTTGGTGCCTTGCACAATAAATAACTGATAAATGCATGAATAAAAATGAATCAACAAATATAATTAGTTGGGAAAAGAAGATATCCAGAAATAAAAATGCTAAATAATATGAAGATAGTGATAAATAATGTAGGAGGTGATAAGCATACGAACACTGGCTGAGAATCTACTATGATCTAGGTACTTACATAGTATAGTTCAAAATGTAATCCAGGACAAAAATGCACAAGATAAAAGTAAGTGATACAAACACCGTATTTGTTAGGACACTTTCTGTTGTGAGAGGCTAAAGAAAATAAACCTCAGATAGGCAGGAAATTTAATGGCTCATTTAACTTGATGGTCAGAGAGGACAAATGGCTTTAGAAACTGCTCTATTCAGGTTCCATGTCCTTAGAATTTGGCCTCTCTCCCTCTCTCAGGTCTCCCTTACACTACGTTAGCTTCAGCCCTTCTCCCCAACCTGGTGACAAGACGCCAGCAGCCGTTCTGATTGCTCATCTCCTGGGTTCCATTCAGAAGGAAAGATTTGACTTTTTTTTTTCCCTCCATCTCATAAAAAAGTCTTAAGATTTAGTATGACTCAATTAGATCACACAACCATTCCTGGACCAATCACTACAACTAAGGGAAGGC